GGACTTCAATGTCCACGTGGGTAACAACAGTGTGACCTGGAGGAGTGTGATTGGGAGGAACAGCCTCTCTGATCTGAACTCAAGTGGTGTTCTGTTGTTGGACTTCTGTGCTAGTCATAGATTGTCCATCACAAACACAATGTTTAAACATAAGGATGTCCATAAGTGCACTTGGCACCAGGGCGCAGTAGGTTGTAGATCAATGATTGACTTTGTAGTTGTGTCATCTGATTTGCGGCCATTTGTTTTGGACACTCGAGTGAAGAGAGGAACTGAGCTGTCAACTGCTCACCACCTGGTAGTGAGTTGAATCAGATAGTGGGGGAATATGCTGGACAGACCCAGTAGACACAAATGTGTAGTGAGGGTTTGCTGGGAATGCCTGAAAGAAACCCCCATCAGAAAGATCTTCAACTCACACCTCCAGGAGAGCTTTAACCACATCCCAGCTGAGGTGGGGAACATTGAGTCTGAGTGGGCCATGTTCTGTGACTCAATTGTTGAAGTGGCTGACTTGAGCTGTGATCGTAAGGCTGTCAGTGCTTCTCGTGGTGGCTGTCCTCAAACTCGGTGGTAGACACCCCGGGTTAGGGAGGCTGTCAAGCTGAAGAAGGATTCCTATCGGTCCTTGTTGACTGGTGGGACTCCGGAGGCGGCTGAGGAATACTGGAGGGCCAAGCAGTTTGCAGCCTTGGCTGAGGCAAAAACTTTAATGTGGGAGGAGTTCGGTGAGACCCTGGATAACAACTCTCGGTTGACTCTGAGGAAATTCTGGCAAACCATCAGGTGGCTGAGGAGGGGAAAGCAGTGCTTTACTAATAGTGTTCAGTGAAAGTGGAGGGCAGTTGACCTCAACCAGTGATGTCATCGGGAGGTGGAAGGAATAATTCCCTGGCCTTCTCAATCCTACTGACACGTCTTCTTTGGAGGAAGCGGAGTTGGAGGACTTTGGGGTTGGTCTATCCATAACCGTGGCTGAGGTCGCCAAGGTAGTTAAAAAGCCCCATGGCGGCAGGGCTCTGGGGGTGGATGATATTTGTCCTGATTTCCTTAAGGCTCTGGATGTTGTAGGGCTGTATTAGTTGACACGTCTTTGTAACATTGCATGGACATCAGGGGCACTGGATTGCCACTGGATTGGCATACTGGGTTGGTGGTTCCCCTCTTCAAAAGGAGGACCGGAGGGTGTGCTCTAATTACAGGGGCATCACTCTCCTTAGCCTCCCTGGTAAGGTCTATTCAGAGGTACTAGAGAAGCGAGTCCAATTGATGGTCAAACCTCAGATCCAGGAGGAACAATGCGAGTTCCATCCCAGGCGTGGAACACTGGACCAGCTCTTTATTCTCACTAGGGTCCTCAAGTGGTCATGGGAGTTTGCACATCCAGTCTGCATGTGTTTTGTGGACTTGGAGAAGGCATTCAACCATGTTCCTTGGGGTACATTGTGGGGGGTGTTCCGTGAGTATGGGATTGGGGATTGGGGATTGTTACAAGCTGTACGGTCCCTATACAAGAGGTGAGAGAGTTTGGTTTGCATTGCTGGTAGTAATTTGGACCCCTTCAGAGTGGGAGTTGGACTTTCCCACGGCTGCCCATTGTCACCGATTCTGTTCATAACTTTTATGGACAGAATTTCTCGGTGCAGCCAGGGGGAGGAGGGATTCCAGTTCAGTGGCCTCAGGATTATTTCGCTGATCTTTGCATATGATGTGGTCCTGTTGGTGTCATCGTGCTGTGATCTTCAGCACGCACTGGAGTAGTTTGTAGCAGAGTGTGAAGCAGCTGGGATGAGAATCAGGACCTGCAAATCTGAGGCCAAGGTCCTCAACTAGAAACGGGTGGCTTGCTCTCTTTGAGTCAAGGGTGAGGTTCTGTATCAAGTGGAGGAGCTCAAGTATCTTGGGATTTTGTTCACAAGTGAGGGAAGAATGGAACGTGAGATTGACAGATGGATTGGTTCAGCTTCTGCAGTATAGTGGACTCTGTGCTGGTCCATTGCGATGAAAAGGGAGGTTAAAATGGTATTCCTCCATAGGGTAGATGGACTCTCCTTTAGAGGTAGGGTGAGAAACTCAGAGTGGCATTGCTGCTCCTCAACATTGAGAGGAATCAGTTGGGGTGGTTTGGGCATATGGTAAGGATGCCTGGGCGCCTGCTTCAGGCATGTCTGACTGGGAGGAGACCCCAGGGAAGACCCAGGACACGCTGGAGAGACAATGTCTCTCGGTTGGCTTGTGTCCACACAGAAGAGCTAGAAGAGGTGGCTGTGGAAAGAGATGTCTGGGCCTCCCTGCTCAAGCTGCTGCCCCTGTGAAAGGGCTTCAGAAGCAAGCAGAAGATAATGGATGGATGGACTTTTGACATCTGACATTGCTGCCTCTGTGTGGTGTCTGCAGCCACTAACCTGATCCCTCAGTTGCATATCAAACACTGGCTTAGAGTCTAAATTTGAATCAGAATCAGTCTTTACAGTAGTCCCTTGTTTATCACAGGGGATCTATCTGTACCCTGAAGTCCCGATATGTGAAAAATCATAAAGTAGGAATAGTAGTACAAGTATTAAGTTGTAGATTATTTTCATAATTACACCCCCCCACACACACA